CATTTTGAATATGAATAGTTGGGTTTTGTTCAGGTTATTAGGAGATTATAATAAAATTAATATTATTTATAATTATAACTATGTTTCATGATGATGAAACCATAAAAATTATCAGCAAAGATGGACAGTGGCTAGCAATGCAATCCATGACGAGTGTTTCGTCCTATTCAGGACTCGTCAGCCTGATGTAACTGCATCTCAAAGTTGATGTTCACTCTGGGACTCGAACCCAGTACCTTTGGTTTCAAACGCCATCGCGTTATCTACTCAGACACTGAGTCCTGATAGCCACTTGCTTGTGCAATGGGGTGAAGTTTAAATTCATTTAGTATTGTTTGTTTGAATCTTCCCATTGATGTTTAGGACTGCAATTGATCAGTCACTGAAGAGAAAGGTACCGGGTTTGTGTCTCGTAGTGAACATCGACTCTGGTATGTAGATACATCCAGTTTATGAGTCCCAAGTAGGATGAAACGCGCATTCTGGATTCTCTTGCTGGCTACCACCATCTTTGCTTGTAATGCTTGTGAATTAAGACTATATCAAGGCAATACGCACAGTATGCACATATGCCAATAAGAGACTGATCAATTACAGTCCTAAAAATCAATGGGAAGACTCAAACAATCAATGCCAAGTGAATTCATAACAAAAATTATTGTGAATATAAATTAGATTGATTAATTAAGTAATGACAGTATCATGTCAATACATAGTAAATGAATGTGAATAATATATTTTTCATTATGTTCAGAGTTTGGTAATATTTTATTAGACGTTTATTAATTTTCATGGTTATTTACCATGCAGCTATAATGTGATGTATGAGATGAATTAAAAGAAACATTCAATGTTCCCAAAATAATAATCAATACAACTTCTGATATTGATATAATAGAGTGTTATAATAGTTCAGTGATAATGATTTATGGTCAGAAATTATGGAAGTCATTTTATTACCCATTGTAGTGAACAAGAACACAAGTGGGTACAATCGAATGTATTTAAGCATAGAATTACGGACTATCTTAGTAAAATATGAGAACCATATAGTAAATAGTTAATTTGTAAACTATCAATCGATTGTCTCAATCTTGATTATTCCTTCTGCAAATATCAGTCCGTCATCATTGATTATTATTGTTCATGCATTTTCATACTAATTGCGTTTCGTTCCCGTTCTTACGTTATCGATCTTCTACTAAAATACATTCAATGCCCGACCATCGTTATATAGTACTTATAAGGATATAAGTAACCCATACCACACAAACAGGAAGTTTGTATTTTTAAAAAAAAATATATGATGCCATAATAAATCAATCAATTATGAAAAATAAACTCTAATTGTATAGTATTGTAATGAACGGAAATTCAAATATGGTCGACCAATTTATTGTTCAAAATAAAATTACACAGTGCCTTTGTGAAATATGAAAATTATACATTAAGTAATTTATATGAATATTCATCAATATTAGAACGATTAGTTTGACAAAAAGTGGGCACCGAGTATAGATAAGTCATTATATATGAAAATTATATTTGAAATAATCTCGATGATTAAAATTTAAATAATTCCAACGTTTCGTCCAGCAAACGTGCCTGAACCTCTTCAGGGCAATAATCATAATTAAAACCATTAAATAAATATGTAGCGTTTGAATATAATTTTCACATATAATGACATACATTAAATACATCATTTATAGATCTTCCTTGATTTGTCTTCTACATACTTCATCATTCATTTAATCCTGTTGTTATTCTGATCGCTCTCTGTTTTCTTTCCTCTTCTCTTGATTTCAGTCTTTTTCTGTTAAGCATTTCTATTGGTTCTACATACTATTAATGTCTGTCCGCATAAGTAATGCACACTACAGTATCTGCAAACGTCTTATCTTACGATGTCGACGTAATAAAATCTCATAGCTCTAATAACCAATTTTATATATAAAATTGAAGTATTTTCATTGCTCAACTGGTGACGCACTCGAAAAGAATTTCATGTTAATAATACAATAAGGTAATGTATCTTAAGAATATTGAGTATATCGCTAAAGTTTTTACTGTAAAAACTTGTAATAAAGCAATGATAATGATGCTCGAGTAACTAATATTTATTCATATATTGTTTTTATTTCATAATAACTGTTTCTAGGTAAATAGGCTTTGTTAACCATGGTATAATGTTAGCACTTTATTAATGAGGGTAAAGTTCAATCCAGTGTAAATAAACGATGAAACTGGATTTATTGATTACGAAAGTTATTTCGTTTATGTTGCTTTTATTAAATTGATTATCGTTTTAAGAATACCTATAAATAATAGATGAAATAGTTAGGATTAGATATTTTATTGGTGAAGTAATGGATAAATACTAATATCTAGACGAAATACTGTCTTTAAGTACATAAAAGTAAATTTTCATAATACTGTGAGCCAAAAAAGATAAGTTACTACTATGGGATATTTTATAATGCATATTATAGATTTGATAAAGTGAATGACTAGGTTTCACACACATACGATCATATAAACAACATTGAAGATTGATAAGCGAATAATTGACAAGATCAAAACATGGTTTAGGAAGAATGAATAAGTAGGCTTGTCCGGAAGCTAGAATAAGCTGTGTATGCTTAACATAGCAACTGACACTACACATCACATCCTGATTTTTCAAATTTTGTGCTGACTACTTTCGATAATTTAAAATAAAATGTTTTGTTTCATGTATAAAAGTGATTTCAAAACATCTTGTATTTAAACTCTATTTTTTTTACAAGCTAGTTAGTTTGATACATCTATCGTTAGACGTTTGTGCAGATAAAATCTTTCAAGACTATGAAAGTAAAACCATGTTAACCGCCAGTATATCTGCCTAATCTACTCTCTGTCAAATATAAATCCAAATGGTACTAATTACTATATTGAATAAACAAAAGATAGGTATTTTAATATTCAACAGAAAATAAAACTATAATTTAAAAAAAACGAGCCTGATAAACACTGTCTAGTTAAACTTTTGATAAGATGATAGACTAAAGCAACAAACCACTTATCTTCTTACGTATCAAGAATAAATTTATCGATTTAAACAAACAGTTATACGATTGATGTTGTTCAATGGTATTAGCGATCAATTATGTCAATAAAGATGGGATTAGTGAACAATTTCATAAATAAGAAATACATACATAGATTAATGAAAGTAATTAGTTACCATCTATTAGGACGGTAAATCATTAAGTATGCGATTATAGTAAATGGATTAAAAAAAATAAATGAAAAGTAATTTCAAGTGGACTGATGAATAATTTTGTTTCCAGTTAATTTAAAAAACAAAAGAGTGAATGGATATTACTTTTAGTGAAAAATCAAACAGTTTACTTAGAAGACTAAGAATCTTTTCTGAAAAAATAAACAAAGTGATTGTGACAAATTTTTCTGGAGCTTTATTATTAATTCACGGTGTTAGGCAAGGTTGCTTACTCTCACCCTTTCTCTTTCTCCTGGTCATCGACTGGATCATGAAGACGTCAACATCTGGAGAGAGGCACGAGATACAATGGACAGCTAGCATGCAGCTGGACGATTTAGACTTCGCAGATGATCTGGCTCTTTCAATCACACACGCAGCAACAAATGCAGGAGAAAACGACCAGTGTAGCAGCAGCTTCAGCAGCGATAGGTCTTAATATAAACAAAAAGAAAAACAAGACTCTCCGATACAATACAACATGCACCAATCAAATTACACTTGACAGAGAAGCTTTGGAGGATGTGGAAACCTTTATATATCTGGGCAGCATCATTGATGAACGCGATGGATCTGATGCAGATGTGAAGACACGGATCGGCAATGCTAGAGCAGCATATCTACAATTGAAGAACAACTGGAACTCAAAACATTTGTCAATCAACATCATGATCAGAATTTTCAATACAAATGTCAAGACAGTTCTGCTGTATAGGGGTGGAAACTCGGAGAACTACGAAAGCCATGATCCAGAAGATACAGGTGTTTATTAACAGTTGTCTATACAAAATGCTTCGGATCCGTTGGCCAGACACTATCAGCAACAACATTCTACTGTGGGAGAGAACAAACCAGATTCCAGTGGAGGAAGAAATCAGGAAGAAGAGTTGGAAGTGGATAGGATATACATTGAGGAAATCACCCGACAGCGTCACAAGACAAGCCCTCCCTTGCGATCCAGAGCGCCAAAGAAGAAAAGGAAGACCAAAGAACACATTACTCCGAGAAACGGAGACAGACATGAGAAGAATAAAAAAAATTGAATAGAGCTGGAGAAGACCCAGGACGGAGTGGTTTGGAGAATACTGGTAAGCGGCCCATGCTTCATTGAGAGTATCAGGCGTAAGGAAGTAAGTTAATATGAATTATCCATAGGAATTACATGATTCATTTAGTTCAAGATGACTAGGTTTGAATTTATACGAAAGTGTTTGTACTGTAAATTAATTATCTTATTACATTTCTCTCCATTTTTGAATGTGATATTTAATTTTTTGGTTGGTCGAATGTTTCATTTGGCATCAAACTAATGACTACAATTTATTTCGGAAAGGCGATAGGGAGGCTACTTCAGTGCCTTAACAACAGAAAGATACGAATACGTATTAATTAAATTCATTGTCGTTGTATTGACAAATGACTATCGCGATTCTTCAGCTTATTGGATAACTCATTGAGAGTCCGAAATCAAACGTATTTGGTTCGAGTTCTGGTGTGAGTATCAACATTAGGATCCAGTTACATAGGACTTTACTAAAGCACAGTTTCCAAATCTTTTATTTGGCACACAGTTAACAGTTATAGACGTTGACTAAAAATGAAAAGATATATTGGACGTAGGATCTAGATACAGATGAATTTAAAACTTGTGCCATATAATTTTTGTTTTTGATTGGTAAATTTTACATTTCTAATAAATGATTCTCATTGGTTAATAAATAATTTTATGATAAGAAGTGAGAAAATGAAAAGATAACAAACAACTGAGGAACTTAAACACGGTGAGATGAACATACATCGTTGTTCACCTTACAGTTTTTTTCCCTTTTTATACTCCTCTATGATTACAAGTTAATTGATGAAACTGTGCTTATTTGCATAATAAACAGTGAAACAATAAATCTCATCTAATTTTACAATTTATTAATATCAAGAAGATACATCATTTTTCTTTATTTCAAAACTGAAGTTATTCACCAGTTAATTTGCAGTGATATTAGTAAGTACAAAATATAATGTGGTAATAAGTGGATATTATTAATAATAGAGTATCAGAAGGGGTTTTTTGTGCAGATTTCAGTATTTTTCACAGTTGAAATCATGAGTCAATTGAAGCTGGACCACCATGGAAAATATGGAAGCACTGCTGGGGAGTCCCACAATAGAACGAAACGACCATTCAGTGCATTCAGGTTTTATATGGTGGTCTAGCTTCAATTGACTCATGATTTTAACTATAAAATAATAGAGCAATTGAATGTTTTCTTTTATTCAATTCAACACATACTTTATACATGTTGTACGAGTCTAAGAAACTTTTTCAGCATTGTTTATTATTAAACAGATAGCATTATATGTCATAAGTTATTAAATGTGATTAGTGAAATGTATTGGAATGAATTTGCTGACCTTCATTACTTCCATAAGAGAGGAAGTTTCTTTAGTTATATCAAGAGATTACCATATTTTATGTTAGTCATAGAAGATAGAATGATTAACTATAACGTATCACGTATTCCACATTTCATTGCCCTGCTTCTCTTAGTGGGAATGTATGATAAACAAACGACTCATAAATATGAGTATAGGGGGGATATAACTTTTTGTACTAAAAATTATGAAATTATAAGATTCGTTTAGGCTGAATAAATTATTAGACGATTATTAAAAAAATAAATTACCCATATTAGTAATTATACTCTGGAACGGCCTATGCTCCTCCACAAGGGGTAACAGGCGTAAGTAAATAAGTAATACTCTGGAAGTAGAAATTGTATAATTCTAAATTAAAGATATACTTCTTCATCTCGTTTTATGTGCAATGAAGTTTTATTGATGACTAAATTCAATGCTATTGAACAAATACAGCATCTCAATGATACAGTGAAATAAAGGCTCTTAGAACACAATATCTAATCATGAAAAACTTATAATGTATTCGACATACAATATAAACTAAAGTAATGTTGAAGTGTACTGTTCCTTGTAAATTTTAAAAGACCATTAGATTAGTACGGATGATCTTATTCAACCTGGTATATGCTAATATAGCAAAAGAGGCTACATCTGGAGAAGAATGCAAATAATTATTTTCGTGGTTATGTCTGTTACATTATCTCCGGGAATTTAACCTACACTAAAAGAAATATAAAACCAAAGAACTAGTTGGACATTTCTCTCTCTGAGAATCGACGTTACTTGACTTTAAAATTTGGGACAATGGTACCTAACTTTTGGAAATTAATCAAATAGCCCCGATATTTATGAATAAAGTTCATATATTGAACGGTAATGTATAGTAATCAAGATGGTTTTGTAAATCAATTAAACAAAAGGATTAATCTTCCAGATCCAAAAGTTTGATGTAACGTTTTTATATCCCATTAACTAATTTAAGCAGTTCCAATAAGAAATTAAATAAAAGAATGGCTACTAGGATGGCTGGTTGAAGACCCATTAAAGTTGAATATATTTTCTTTACAATTAAACAAGGTTAGCTAAGAAATTATTGCAAATCATAATACACTAAGTAAATATTGTATCTCAGCTTGATACTTAACAATAGTGCAAGCGATCAATTCAATCATAATATCTCATGTTTATTATTACACTTTAAGATTACTTAATGGAAATTCACTGGTGTACAGTACTGGTTACAATCAATGTCATTGTTTAACTATTATCCTAACCTCAGTTTTACTAACTCAGTATATGATATTTAGTATTTCAAAAGAATATTAGTTGAATAACTCAACCATTGCAGTCCTAAACGTCAATGGGAAGATTCAAACAAGCAATACTAAGTGAATTTAAACTTCACCCCATTGCACAAGCAAGTGGCTATCAGGATTCAGTAGCTGAGTGGATAATGCGATGGCGTTTGAAACCAAAGGTACTGGGTTCGAGTCCCAGAGTGATCATCAACTCTGAGATGCAGGTACATCCAGTTAACGAGTCCCAAATAGGACGAAACGCGCATCCTTTATTCTACTGCTAGTCACTATCCATCTTTGCTTTCAACAGTGTAATAGTTTTGCACAACTAATGAATAAGGTATTAAAATAAACTAAAATTACTTTCATGTAAACACAGATGATAGATCTATTCAGGTTTATATACAAAAACAACAACTAAAAAGTCTTTATTAATATTCAAATTTGAGAATAAAACATTAAAGCAAAATTTAAAGAAATCAGTTCTGCAATTATATATCCAAATTAATAATCCGAAAAAATGACCACGTTAAGGGTCAAGTACATCGTTTAATGCATGTAAATTTAAGATTGGCAAACCAAATAGAATAAAATTGTTAATGTTGATATCACTCATATAGAACGTTCACTCGAATCTGTATATGCTAAGTGAAAATTTAAGATCCATGTTTAGGATGGAGTTGAAAACTAAATTGTGTGAAAAATTAGTAAGACATAATAAAGAGGGATGAATGCAAAGTGATTGAATCATGTATAGGGGAGATTAATAATGATGTTTAATCAATGATAATAATAATACAAAGGTTCGTGAATAAAGATAATAGAGACAATTACATTTGACTGATTTGTTTATTTTTTTAATGATATGATACTTCATTCCAGTATGTTTAGCAGATTGATACTTAAATAAATAAATTTATTAATTTAATGAAACACTTTGATGTGCATTAAGCTTGAAAACAAAAAAATTTAAACAATGTTATATTAGAATCAGAAGGGGTTTTGTTGAGATTTCAGTATTTTTCACAGTTGAAATCATGAGTCAATTAAAGCTAAACCACCATGGAAAACCTGGAAGCACAGGACGGCCATTTTGTCCTATTGTGGGACTCCTGCTGACTGAATTCAAATGATATATTCTGAAGTTCTAGTGAGAAGCAGTAACCAGTGTAGTACAACCACGTTTGTTTTCAGATATCAACTTACTGAAGACAATGGTGAATGGTTGCTCAACTTTGTGGATTGGTTGAAGTTATACAGCAACACCGTTGGATGCCGGCTAGCTCAGTGGTCTATCGGTTAAGCGCTTTGGCGCGAGACTGATAGGTCCTGGGTTGGAATCTGGCAAGGCGAGTTCGTGGATGCGCACTGCTGAAGAGTTTCACATTAGGACGAGTTGGCCGTCCAGTGCTTCCAGATTTTCCTTGGTGGTCTAGCTTCAATTGACTCACTATTTCAGCTATGAAAAATATTATATTACTCACTAACATTTTAGTAAACAAAATTACACTATTCAATAATATATAAGACCTACATAGTTGGTGTATTTTAAATACTGTACTGTACTCTTATTTTAAAGTAAAAAAAGGGACTCTTTTAATCTAAAAAAATAATGTTTTTGTTATCTGATATTGACTTATTTACATTAGTACTAATACTTACTATTATAGTCACACTGTCTATTTAGTCTCAATTACATTACAATATGTAGAATGTATTAGTGTTGTTTACATTTGTTACAAAACGATATGAAAGATTCATATCAGAAATTATTGTACCAAAAAATCAACAACAACAACAACATAGTGTTATTCTGTTAATGCTTAAATATGTATATTTAATTTACCATTCCTATGGGAGAAAAAAGAAACTATTTTTTAGAACTATTGTTGTTTTCGAATGATAAGGAAGCACAATTATAATGGCTTCGATGATATGTCACAATCGTCAATGCATAAAGCCATTAATAGCTAATTTCAGAATAGATTAAATGAAATGAACTCATATTTAATTTCAGTCTCTGATTATTCTGACTCATTCTTGTTTGGTTAATGAAAAACATTATTACTGCATATTTTCTTAAATATTATTTATTTGGAAAGATGGATAGTGGATAGCAATGGAATCCAGAACGAGCGTTTTGTCCAAATTCTAAGTTTCGTATCCAGTTAAACAGCTCTCAAAAATTTACTTCTTTTTATTCGTGTACATTGTAAGATATGCATTACGGTAAATTAATAATTGATAATATAGGCTGAGAAATCGAGAGTTTGTTGTGTTCGTTACTATGTTAAATCCAGTTATTTTATTCTGTCTTTCGGACAAGCCAATTTATTCATTGTTCTTGAGTCACATTTTGACTGTGCTAATTATTCGCTTATCAACCTTCACTGTTTTATGTAAGCGTATGTGGATGCATTTTTTTATATCTTACTCTACATGTCTGTACCTTATTTTTGGTCCGATCATAAATATGGATTCACGCTTAATCAAATCACATTGACTTAACCATCTTCTCCACTGCTCGTCATTTTGTTTTGCTTCGCTTTCCGATCAACAGTTGTACAAAACATGTGTAGTCAAATATCCATTCTCGTATTTGACTTATTTAATTCCGTTATTCCCAAGCGCAAGTTAAGTCGATTATTATATGCAAGGATTGGTGACATGTATATTTCAATAACAATCAGAAACGATCTAGTTGGAGTGAGATCTCAGGCTACTAACAGTTTTCATACGATAAACTATAGATTTTGAATGATTTTGTAAATCTATATAGTCAATGTTAATTACATATTTGATAAATATTATTTCTTTCGAAAAGAATTACCAGCTATTTTTAAATTTCTGAAACTTTCAACTGATTTAGATTATACTTTATGAAGTGAACTGAATCAGTCTTGATATTCATATTGTCGGTTCACCAGATTATTTCAACTTAACAGTTTTAGAATCATTGTTAATTATCTAATCCTTTAAATTCTGGTAAATTGGAAAAGCTTAGCTTGATCAGATTAGTGAGTTTATTGTATAAAATCACTCACTAGTTTAGCATTGGAGACCAGTTTCATATTATTACATAATTCGTCAATATAGAGTTATTTAAGCTTATATTCACATCCATTCAAGAGCTAATATAATAAGAGATGTAGCAGTATTTGGATTTCATGTTTCAACAAAGTTACTGTGTAAGCAAATCCTAGTTACTATTGCCACTAATAAAAAAGTCGTATTTACCTGATTCTGACATTTACATTTATGTTGTTTTGAAAACTAAAATGTTAAAAATTTGTCTACATACCTAAATTGTTTTATTGTGAATAGTTTAATGATTATTTCATTAATTACTGAACCATTTTGTTTTTAAGGTCCGTTGTTTTCTCACAGAAAACATTTTTATTTGTATCTAAATGCTTTTTTTATGCACGGTATATAGTGAATACAAAAAAAGTAATTTTAAAAATTGTGCATGTAACCATAGAAATTATGTTCAATGTTTGTGTTATATCGTATGGATTCGTAATTTATATAAACGTGCAATTAGAGACGAGTGAATTTATTGATCGGACGCAAATGATACTTGAAATCGTACGAGCAGTCTTGGGTGCTATTCGGTCCTTCCTACTGCCTAGCCCAGCCAGTTGAGTGCAGAACACAAATAACAGCCTCGGCAATATGAATCATTATTTACAAACATACTGGGTTTTTATACAAACCAAAGTAATCAATAAACTGATTATAACTCAAGAATCGTATGATAATAAATCAAAGATCAAAATAAAGCTCATGATAAGAGAAACACGAATATGAATAATTTAGTTACGTAACAATTGTACAATAGGAAATAAGCATAATACATTGGTCGATAAATAGTCCTTAGAGTTACCATTCATAATTCACCAGGGGATATAACAGTTTGTCTAGGTAAAAAAAACACCAAACAACCATAGAAGGTATAAACTTCACATAATTAGGTTATACGTTTCAGAACATCTTACAGTTTCAAAGTGAATTCATTTTTAACTTTTTGGTCATTACGAAATAATTAGTGCAAGTTTTAAGAAATTAACTAACCAACTTTTGATTTGAAAGTCGAACTACTCAGCCTTTTACATCCCATTCATAATTATCTAATAAAATCAAAATGTTTAATTTTGTGTAGAAATGATCAGTATTTTTTCAGTGACAAAATAATCTTCCTATCCGATGAAATATTGTTTTAAAAAATTTCATCCTAATAAAACTTATATTTAAATGAAGAATATCTTTTAGTAAGTTCTCGGTGAGATTTTAATCTATGGACGACGTTTGGGTGATACTAAAGTGACCTTGAGAATATCTACCTACTAACTAGGACTAAATGAGGGTTATAAAATATTGTGAGGAATTAGAAATATGATCTACAATCGATGGGTTAAGAATTAGATCTAGATTTTTCATTGTGAACTGATATCATTTTAAAAGCGAAAAAAAACGCTATTTAGCCAATGGATAACTAAATTTTGCTCTAAAATTCAAGACCTATTATCTTATATCTGATTGGTTCGTCCATAAATTAAAGTCTGGCCAAATTCTATTAATGTTCTACAACTATATTTATAAATTAATAATCCAAGACGTAGTCAGGTTTAAGGCAAGTACATCATAAGATCTGAATCCAAGATTGTTTGAAAAATGAAATATAACTGATTATGTTGTAATACTGAAAGCGTAATGTTGATTCGCATAAGTTCGTCAGTGAGATGAGATTGTGCGAATCATAGTCAAAATAAATATATATATCATTATGTGAAGGAAATGATAGTGAAAATATAGGTCATATCAAATGCTTGATGAAAGACCATATAGTTTATGTGGTAATATGAATTAAGTAAGAAATAATAAAATCCAGTGAATATTAACTAAATTATTCATGAACTTGAAAGAATACTGATGGCCTAATTAGTTCAAACTAGTTTTAGTGTTAGCATAATGCATTATTCTGAATACTCTATCGGGTTATTATTTTTCTAAATATGTTTGTGAGACTCAAAACCAGCAAATAAGCGAAGCAGTAGGCATTCGTTTTAAAAACGCCTGAGTTATGCGTACCTAAAACATATTTTCAACACCTACTAGCTGATCCAACACCAGCCTCAATAAGTAGATCGTCATTATGATTAATGAATGATCGTTTGTATACAAAATTAAATACTTTGCTTGTTGAGGTATTCTTTTTTTAATATAGAAAAGAAGTATCATGTCATATTCTAATGAATAACTGAGCCTTATTTTTTGTAATATTTTCGTACTAACATGATTTGCTTTATTAGGCTGGTTACTATTTATTGCCAAACAACAGCAGTAAAATACTTTGTTAAGATGGAAAATTGATCTTAGTTGGACAGCTAATGAAAGCCTGAAAGGAATGGACAGCTGTTTCGCCCTATCGTTGAACTCTTCATCATTAAACATCTATGAACCTTCCACTTGTATTTAAACCAAAAACCTTTGGTCTTGAACGTGGACGATTAATCCTAAATCACCAAGTCTAGATTCACTAGTGTAGACGCTAAACTTCAATCAGTCCATAATATTAAGCGACTATCTTCAGTTGCTTTCCGCGGATAACAATCTCTATGAGCCCTCTACTGACAATCGTCATGTGCTTCATAATTCTTCAAATTCTGTTGTTATCACAGTCATCTTCTGTCTTCGTTTTTATTCTGTTCAATTCAATCTTCTCAGTCTTCTTCTGCCAGACATCCCACTTCTGATTAGTGTTACATAAATTTATATCTGTCAGCATAAGTAGGATATACCATATTATTACTATCGCAACATCCTACATACCAACTTAAAACAATTATAATTATTATTATATGAACACAAGTATGTTTATTTCATAGTTCCGTTATTTGGGTGTCATAGGAAAGTAGCTAAGTACCTATTTATATCTGCATATACCGTACCATTCTTTGAGATTCCTTTTTAAAAAAATCATTATTATAACTAATTTCCAAAATGATGAATTTCTCACAGCCTAAAACTTCTACGTAAAGTATCAAAATTTCTATCATTGTCAACTAAATATTTGAACTATTTATTTACTAAAGACACGGCAATCAATTATTATTTACGTTCACTGTTAACATTAGGATATCACTACACAAAAGCTTACATTGAAATAAATAAGAGAAGTACAAGTTGCAATTCTGAGATTTTTTTCATAGTTGAAAGCATGAGTCAATTGAAGCTAGGCCACCATGAAAAATCTGGAAGAACTGGACGGCCATTTCGTCCTATTGTGAGACTCCTAAGTAGTGCGCATCCACAAACCCGCCTCGCCACATTCCAACCCAGGACCTATCAGTTTCGTGCGCTAGCACTTAACCGATAGACCGCTGAGGTGACTGGCATCCAACGGTGTTGCTGTATAACGTCAACCAATCCACAAAGTTGAGCAACCATTCACCAATGTCTTCAGTGAGTTGATATCTCCTAACAGACCTGGTTGTATTGCACTGGTCACTGCTTCTCACTAGAACTCCAGAAAATACCTCGTGGAGCCAGTCACTAGTTAGCATTGCTGAGAAGTCCCACAATAGAACGAAATGACCGTCCTGTGCTTCCAGGTTCTCCATGGTGGTCTAGCTTCAACTGACTCATTATCTCAACTATACATAATACATGAGTTTGGAAAGATTCCCTTAAATTTTGTTTCATATAAACAAAGAAATATTGTTCCGTTAGCTTTTCCTTTCATGAATATATTTTCTCGAGTTTTCTTTTTTCAACACAACAGGCTATTTCCAAAGAAGATAAAATTTAAATTAATACATGAGTGAACTCAACTTAGAATTGAAAAGACCAGTTGTTATATGTGGTCCATCAGGATGTGGAAAAAGCACATGTATAAGAATGCTTATCAGCAAATATCCGAATTCTTTTCGTTATTGTGTATCCCGTAAGTATTTCAATACAGTTTATTCATATAAAAATCAAGTCACATATTAAATTAGTTATCATTTCTGATATTTACGTTAGTTAATCATAAGTTTTATTTAATCCATGCTAATTTCAAATGAGCCCCCAAATGCCCGGGTACGGCCGGGAGTGAGGAGAGTCCACTCTCCCTCTCCAAATGCCCCCACATGGCCACGCGTATATAGCCTCTGCCAGTGAAGTCCTACTCACTGCCTTCTCGTGGCATTACTGTTGTTTACGAAATTGAGAGGACGAAAAGCGAATGTCCAGTGCCTTAATCGAGTTGGTGGACACGGTGAGTCCACCTAGGGGAGTAGGAAAATCCTGATTCCAAACCTGGGTTTCAGTATCCTGAGGGAACAAATGGCGTATGAATCAATTGTTGGTCACCGGCTACCATGGGGCTGCATCTCGTTACTATGTTACACTGCCTCGTGGATCAGAATTTTAGGTCAAAGGTTCCAGTTGTGGTCCCCCAAGAAAACCACCTGCTTTGATTTAGGCACGTGGGCAGTATCACAACCCTCATACAAATCAAACGAGATTTGTGTGGCGCATATATATTTGGTGCCCTTTTGTACCAATATTTATGTGTTTAAATAAATAAATAAAATAAATAACTTCAAATAAAAAATCGCTAGAAATAAAACAATAATAAACGTCAATGTTGGACTAGTTCAGAGTATTTATTTGTACGGCTAAATAACATTCTTTTGTTATCAATCGATGAGTTAAAACAGGAATACCTAAACATTTCTTTGTAACTTTATTGTTTCATCGAAAATTACAAATTGACCTAGTTAATGTTTTGATAAAATGAAAAATATATATATCTGATTCGCTTTCTTTGATACAACATTTAGCAAAACGATTATATCTAAATGATTAAATTATATCAGGTCTTTGTAAATACGTTTATTTAAAGGATTAGGTAGACCCATTCTTCTCTAAACACTGTCAACATTAACCTGTCTTTTCGTTTTTTTGAAGTTCATGTTAAGTAATCACTTTGGAAGTTGAAATCATGAGTCAATTGAAGCTAGACCACCATCGAAAACCTGGAAGCACTGGACGGCCAACTCGTCCTATTATGGCACTCTTCAGCAGTGTGCACCCACGGTCCCGCACTCGCGCGATTCGAACCCAGGACCTACCAGTTACGAGCCAGAGCCCTTAACCGGTAGACCATTGAGCTGGTATCCAACGGTGTTAATGTCTAACTTCAACTGATCCACAAATTATGAGCGACACTTCACCAATTGCCTTCAATGAGTTGTTATCTCATGAGTCAATTGACTCATGATTTCAACTTTGAAATATACTGAAATCTCCACAAATCTCCTTTTAATCATTTTGGAGTTTCACTTACCTATTATCCTTTATATAACGTTCGTATAATTGTTGGTAGTAATCATGATCATCATTAAACGTATGATGAATTTTAATGAAATTGCTGCTTTTGAATATGATTTAGTTTAGTTGTTTGCATAATGTGTTCAGTAAACATTTGATGTTAGCTAACTTATACGTATTGAGGTATATTAACGATTTTATTCATTTGCACTTTAAGATGAATAGTTTCCTTCAGAAACGTACAATAAATAGTTGGAATACATCATAACACCAATATAAAATCCTAAGTAACTTTGTAAATTTATTTGTGTCAGTACCTCAAAGTAATCATTGAAATATTATAATGAATTGGCTCAGCATCATTTTACAATTCATAAACCCTGATACTACGATCTCAGAGTAAAATTCATATTTAGTTTATTTTCAATAAACAAGTCTAGAAGCTGTATCCTCAGTTATTGTGGATTTATTTAGAAAACACTTTAAACATTAAAACATCTGATTGTTCAACATTTAATTACACATTATGTCAGTGAAGGTGAAATCTCATTCTTTCAATAATTATTATCGACAGATTTGGTTACTTTTGAATCAGCTAGTGATTATTTATTTTTTAAAATTTTATTTTAGATACCACTCGGCCAAGACGTCCAGATGAAATTCATACAAGAGGTGAATGTCTTTTAATTATTATAATAGTCATATGATGTTTTGAATTGAATTTAGTTTGTTTGTCTTTTTGAATAAACTTTATTATATAAAAGTATTCTACCAACTAAACTCAGTACACATGAAGTAAACAAACAGATAGTTACATGTTACTATTTTTGTTAACAATTCAATGTTGGTGACAAACGAATTACATCCTTTTACTGTTGTTTACTTATCAGTGAACCAAACAGATGTAACAAAATTTACATTTAAGGAATTTTGTTTTATTTTCATGGATATTGACCGGTTTATATGGTAGAATAATAAATACTGACTGATAATACTCTTAAGTTCATACAATCAAGTAACGGATTTAATCGCAAATATTAGAATGTCAGCATTTCATACTGGATGCTAAGGTGATCTCAGGTTATCTACTTTTTTGCAAAACATTATAGCTCTTTCTGATAATAATAAGCACAAGTTCCGGAGTGAATATCAACTCTGAGATGCAGGTATATCCAGCTCACGAGTCCCAAATAGTATGAAACGCGCGTCCTGGATTCCATTGCTAGCCATTACCCATTTCGCTTATAACCACAAGAACAGTTTTTCGAATTTTTATTTTTGCATAACCTTCGATGTTTTCTCATCAATTAATACTAACTTCAGTACACCAATTGCTTTGTGGTCAAGTGTCATGTTTGGTTAATGTATATGGATAGTTGTTTCATGTCAATTTGCCTTTCTTAAGGATCAAATATTTTTCTGCACTGCGGTATTTTTTTTGAGCTTTATCGTTAGGGATTTTTACTGAAGAGTTCTATAAATCAGTTGCATCCTTTTTGAGTCCAAAACTAATCCAGTTAGTGATAGAATCGTCTCAGCTGTTCTCAAATAGTAATTAATACAGGCTGAACAAAACAGTTCTTGATAACAGGAAACCTGTAAAATAAATCGAGAACGTTTTATTTTCAGGATAGGTAATATATAATTCATGACGTTTTCCCTATAAATTATGATCGCTTATCAATTTAAACGGGGAATTTAATTTTCGTGATTCGTTTTTATACTATTTGACTTCAAAAATACTGATTCGAAATCGCTTATCTTTTTCAAAATTGCTAAACATTTGTATCTTTAAATGTTAACGTATTTTAAAAAGTAGTTTCGAAAACTTTGTCTGGTTTAAAGAACGCTTTCACTAAGACCTAAGAACAGCCGAAAATCTATTATAAAAAGGTTTTGTTGTCATTTACTTATTGCCATTTTATAAACCAGAATGTAGACGGAGGATAATAGATGAGATATTACTTCTGAATAAGAAATGTCTCATAACCACCCAAATAGATATTATTTTTTGTTTGTATCAAGATTGTATTCTCTGACCTGAAAGTTAATCATCCCAGGATCAATGTGTTCAATTATAGAGAAAGTTTAGTAGATTTCTAATTAGTTTGTTTTCAGTTTTCAGAATTCTGAAAGTAGACCAATGTATTTGAAGTCAGTGACCGAAATATGTGGACAGTACATGTACAAATTCTAATTTGCTAACGATTTCGCCATTTTGTGGGCCTAACAAGGAAACACTGAGTTTTAAAAATATCGAAATATTCCTTTACTCTTAGTATTATAACCTGTTTTAGCATAAATTTGACATTGTCGTTGAATAGTGCCTTTATTTTAATTTGGCGAAATATATGGGATGTAAAAACAGTATAATATGAATTTCCGGTCAAATGCTTGATAACTTTGTGGTTTACATTATGGTTCGGGTATAGTAAAGCATCTAATGAAAATCAAACTCTATTGTTGGACTCTCTAACTATGTGAATCTATGAACCCACTGGAGTTCGGACCGCGAGAGTCTCATATTTAGACTACTGAGGCGGCATTTATATCTAAGGTCATTTATTTCATATTACTGAGTAATAATCTGTTTGATTTTCTATGGTTGTCTAACTAAAGTCATTATGTCATGTAAATCATAAAATAACCATCTTCACAAACACCTGAACATAATACCTTGTCATCCACTTCTTAAGAATGAAAAGTGAAGAGCTAAGAGTAAGAAGGAAGAATTTGCCGTACTGATTTCCTCATCTATATAGTGAAGTTATAATTCATAATTAACTAAAAACTATCTATAAGGATCCTACAACGCAATATAAAGTCACATATATTCCATGTAATGTCAAAAAGTCAGACAATTATTTATTATAGTTTCTATATCACAAACTAATCTTAGCTAAGTAACCATTGGAAACTTGAGAGGACTGAAATTATTTTTCGCCTTAGTGTAGGATTCTTCAGCAGTGTGCATCGTTTGTCACTTGAAATTTCTGAAGCAATGGCTTTTGATTCTTATATTTGTTCCTTGAATTTTCCAGTTAACCTCGGTCAAAAATTTTCGTATTCGACTAATTAATATAGTCGAGTTAGTAAAATACACAAAACCACTACTATTTGTGAAAATTCAGGACAATAGCATTTTCACTAGTCAAACTTAGTTGCAAGCAAGTCGTTTTATAAAGAATAAGAACGTAGTCACAAATTTCACTAATTCGTTTGAATGAACCTTACATGTCCAGATTAACAAATCTAACTCAATAAATCCATTAGTTTATAATTTAATGTTTTCTGTTAAGTGGAAAGCCTTTTATCATCCCTTTTTATATAATACCACTGTTTAAGAATCTTTTAGATGAATGCTATCTCCGAGTTTGACCAAAACCTTATAGTTTGGTTGAATGGTGTTTATCGACATTCTTTGTTTTGGTATGATTAAAATTGTTTAGAAACTTTTACGCATATCGTTCTACATAAAGTGATTTTTCGTAGTTGATTTTAAATATTCCATAAAGTATGCTGACAAAAACAGACGACAACTCATGTAATTAAGGAGCGCGCTTAAAGATCAGGGTCACTAATAACGGAAATATTTATTTTATAAACAAAAGCGTGATAATTATGTTATCAAAACATTTCGATTTAACTTGGTATTGTTTGTTTGAATCTTCGAATTGATGTTTAGGACTGCAATTGATCAGTCTCTTATTGCCATATGTGCATTCTGTGCGAATTTCTTTGATATATCCTTAATTCACAAGCATTGTAAACAAAGATGGATAGTGACCCCATTTCACAAGCATGTAGCTATTAGGACTCATTACCTGAGTGAATAAGGTGATGGAGTTTGAAGAGAACGGTACTGGATGTGAATATCAACTCTGAGATCCAGGTACATCCAGCTGACGAGTCCCAAATAGTACGAAACGTGCGTCCTGGATTCCACTGCTAGTCACTATCCATCTTTACTTATGATTTTGATATAACATTTACATACTGACATTTGAAAGCAAATTTTTTTATAGAATAGATTTCGTAAAATCAATTTTTCTTAAACAACTGATTACTAAATCATTCAAATGTTATGTTACAAGAAAAAATCAGTTGTCCAGAGAACAAATGACATTTGATAATGGAAGTGAATGATTTTACTACAAAAAAATTTAACAATATATGACTAATTTGACTAACAAAAAGTTTAATTTTATTCAAAATGAAATAATATTAGAATTCATCACTTAAAGCTTAATAATTTTATTAAATTGTAGTTGTCAGGGGAAAGAAATATTTTTAAAAAAAGAAATTAAATGCTTATAAATTCACTTGGTATTGTTTGTTTGAATCTTTCCATTGATGTTTAGGACTGAAATTGATCAGTCTGTTATTGGCATATGCGCATCCTGTGTGGATTACCTCGATTAAGACTTAATTCACAAGCATTGTAAGCAAAGATGGATAGTGACTAGCAGTGGAATCCAGGACGCATATTTCGTCCTATTTAAGACTCAATGTTAACATCAACTTTCAAATGCATGCGCATACAGCTGACGAGTCCCAAATAGGACGAAATGCGCGTCCTGGATTCCACTGTTAGCTACTATCCATCTTTGCTTACATTGAATGTTTTTAGTTTAAAGCAAAATGATAATGAGTGGGGTTTTGATAAAAAAAATCAATAAAAAGGAGACATGCAGAAAAAACCAGGTTTTCAAAATTTTTTTTAAAATTATAACTTGTTAAGTGAAGTGTAATGAATAATAAGTAGTTTTTTTTATATTTTCTGAAAAAACTTATTTAATACAAACAAAAAACAAAAAAAAACAAAAATCAATTCGAGTATTTTTATGAGTATGGATTTATTCAAATAATTATTGATTTTTAATAAATAAGAGGATAAGTATCGAATAAGAGGAACATAAACAATTGTCCAATGAAAAGTATTCACTTTTCAATTTTGGAAGATGTTTGAAGAGGTCGTAAATATGAAGAGGATTCTTATTCATGTCTTTTTAGTAAAGTTATAAATGTCTAAGTAATCTCTTAATACTGATTTATTAGAAAAATATTATTATAATCAAATATGCTTCAATTCCAAGCTTGAAAATTATAAATAGTTGAAATCCTTCAGTGGAGCGATCAGGAATCACTTTACTTCTACAGGAGTTAATGTCAATGTTTTAAACAACTCTAAGGTATAATAAGATATAGTTATTTCATCTTACTATGCTTCAGTCGTTATGATTGCTATACTAAAACTATTTTGACATACTACGTTAACGAAGTTTATTTAGTTAGCTTTACATGATTGGAAAACTTTGATTTCCCAATAGGATTTTATTAGTACAAGTGATTTTTGGAGGGTGTAGTATTTCAACAGACTACCACTCAAAACTTGGAAGCACTGAGTGGCTCAATGGTCCAGAGATTAAGCGATTAGGCGTGAGACGAATGGTCTTGAGTCAAATTCTAAGGAACAGGGTCATGGATAAGGATTGGGAAGGAGTCCCATACTAAGGCAAAACGGAAGTCCAGTGGGTTGATATTTTCAATGGTCGTTGAGCTAAGGTCACTTCCTGATTTGAACTGTGAAAATGGTGTATTAGTTTATAATAAGTAGCGAAAATGTTGTTCAAACGTCCGCATCTATTCATAAACGTTCTGAGTGAAAATCTATTAAATAAAATAGTATATTAAATTTTTCTTGCAGATTATAATTTTGTGTCAAAAGAAGAATTTGATGAAGCAATAAGTAAAGACGAATTTATTGAATACGTAATGTTTTCTGGACATTATTATGGGACAAGGTAAGAATTTACATATTTCTGTAGATCATTGAAAAATGTTTTCTTGTGTATTCATTCATTCTACATGTAAATGAATGCTCCAGATTGTTCTTAAAAATAGTGATGCAGTTTGCTGATTTCCGTAATGTGTGTCCTATCCACTTCCGAAGTCTTTTATTAATTTCCTACTCAGATGAGAGCTGGTTTGTTCTCTCCAACAGTAAATATCCGATCAACGGAAATTCAATATCTTACGTAGACAATTGTTTATAAATACTTGTAACGTTCTGATGATGGTTGTGGTAGTTCTTGACGTTTCAGCTCCGTTCAGTAGAACTGTCTTGACGTTCATATTGAAGATTCTAACTTAGATATTGGTTGACAGTTGTTTTGAGTTTTATATGTTCTCCAATCGCAGGAATGCTGCCCTTACTTTGTTAACACTTGCCTTTAAGTATGCATCAAATCCCCCCTGTTCATTGATGATACTGACCAGGTACGTGAAAGATTCCACATCTTCCAGAGCTTATCCATTAAGTGTAATTGGGTTGGTGTTCTTCATGTTGTGCTTGAGGGTATTGTTTTTCCCCTTGTATCTGTTGAGGCCTACTGATGTAGAGGCTGATGCTACACTGACTGTCTTTATTTGCATTTGTTCGTGTGTATGGGAAAGAAAGACCAGGTTATTTACCAAGTTCAAATCAACTAGTTGATTCCGAGCTGTAAATGATCTAACATAGTAAACTAGACAGTAAAGTCTCATCATTGTCATAACTATTTTGTGTGTTTATATGCTTATATTGGAACTACTTTTATTCAATTTATATATTTGTTTTAAATGTTCTTAAAATCAGTAAATCTGAATTGAAAAAAGCTGAATTGGAGAAACGTGTCTGTTTAATGGATGTCGATATACAAGGTGTTGAAAAGCTACAGAAAACAAATATCAATCCAATTTGTATTTTTATACGTCCTAGAACTTTTGCTATACTTGTAAGTTGAATATTTATATCAAAATGACAATTACAATATGCTGCAAAGTTATAAGCTGAATAAAAAATTTCAATATGCTAAATGTATTAAGAGACAATCTGTTCACGACATTTTATACTTTCCTACAATGTTAAGCTTCTATTATGTAACTTGTTTAAAGTGTCAACTAATTTCTTTTTAATCACTAGTATTCTTATCACAGCTTCAGATGTTTTCATAAGAACCAATAATATAAGTCATTGGTATTTCTCTTATTTTTAAATAAGTGAAGACTGTAACAGAAATCATCAGTCGAATTGGAATATCAATGGGCATCATTGAATGCAAATCTAATGCTTTGGAGGTTTAACGCTCTCATTAGATCTTAAAGTTATGGATTTAATTCTTCATAGTATCGTTACCAGATATTATTAATGGATAGCAGACTAGTCAACCTACTAATCATCAGTTTCTATTAAAATTTGAGAATCATATTTATCTATATTCTCGCTAGTGACATTTTTAAAATTTACTTTGTTATGAAAATAAAATGGTTGTACTTTGTCCCGAAATCGGTCCACCATTAGGTTTGACATTTACTTAGGCTTCTTGAATCTTTTAATATTGATAAGCATACGTCCGGAGTAGAAAGTTGAAAATGTGGTTAGAAACTTTGGTATGCCATACGTTTACTTCATCCAGTATCATAGAAGAAGATCTTAGTAATAATCTATCCGGAATTTAGATGTGTGTATGGGGATAGTTATCTACCACGAGCAATAGATGAAGGTTGGGGATCATCACGAATTGATTGGAGTTTAAAAAATAACAATAAATACCATCTCAGTGATCGGATGGTAATCGTTGGCGCGAAACTGAATGTTTTAGGTTCAATTATTAGGTGTGGGGCCGTGCACGCGCACTTCTAAGGAGCCACATACTAGGACAAAACATTCATCCATTTCTTCAAGGTTTCTAATGGTGATTAAGTCAAAGTCAGTCCGTGATATAAACTTTCAAGAATAATTGGTTTTTTAACAAACAGATTGACAGTTCAAATAACACGAACCCCATCAATGAATGCTAATTAAGGCATGAAATATAGAGGTATATATATTTTCGACATAACGTTAAACGTACTTGACAATAGTCATTACTATTTTTTGGAGTACTTATCTTTAGAAACTAATCACCTTATTTGTTATTTCTTTACATTTATTAGGAAAAACGATTAAGATCTCGTTCTACAGAAAGTGAAGATAGAATTCTTCAACGTCTTGCAGTTGCACATCAGGAAATGCAGTACGGTAGGTTATCAGTATATAAATTTTTAGGTTTTTAGAATAATTATGCAAATTTTGCACTTGTAAGATATTCATAGTCAGGAAATGCCATTTAATTTGTCAATTTACTAACGTTTTAACATTAAAATATAGTGACGACACATTCCGTTAAACTCATTTTACTGTTAGATAGATCAATTTTATTTTCTTGACAGATATTTACGCAAATTATTTCGTTAAAATTTACTGTCAACATTAAAATTATTGACATCAAATAGTTACTACTGTAACTACAACCATGTTTAATTTCTATGTCAGTTATGTTTATTTCGAATAAAAGAGAATTTGTTGTATCTTAAATTTTAAAAGTTTCTTGTACTTGATCTATCAGATTTGTGTGAATGTGTATTGTTAAAACAAAACATAAGTAACAATGCATAGATGTGTACGATATTGTTTTGAATTAGATCTTAACCATAATTTAGCCTAATTCCTATTGGCATTTATACTCATATACGATGAATCTTATAGAGGTTATTGCATATCATGAGCCAGTAATAGTCAAATAGATTATATATATATATATATATATATATATATATATATATATATATCATTCATTAGTTTCCTCTTAATGAAAGGCGTCTAATACATTTTAGTCGCTATTAATGAATTATTTAAACGATAATGTCAATTTAAGCATGATGAAAATACTTCTATTATTACTGATAAACTTTATTATTGCATTTCATTGAATGAATGCGACGTACTTTTTAAGGTAAACAACTGAATAAAAAACCGTAATTTCTTGAAAACTTTAACAATATATAGTCAAAGTATATACATTACCCTAGTAACAATGAAGTAAGTTTTAAAAATGATCTCTTCAACTGATGATTAGAAAAACAAAATACTATGACGACAATATTATTTTACGCTGGATTTCAATTTTAGCGACAATATATAAAGTTAAAAGAATTTTATATTTCCAACTTTCTGGCTATTGATCTAATGGTAATATTAGATAAATATTTTAAAGTAACACACAGAACAAATACTGTTATCCTCAAATTTTGATCTTCAAAAGAAATAATGATATAAATATCGGCTTGTAAATTACATTAATCAAACCTTATTATTCACACTCAATACAAATGTATCGCTACTTCGTCAAATATAAACAGAAAACCAAATATAAATTACATAAGGACTTGTGAGTGACTCATTGAATAGTATACATTCTAATATTATTATTCTAGCCAGAGATACAGATGTCCCATCCTGCATACCATGAAGCTCGATCATACTGGGCCGTAGACAGATATCATCGACGGCAACGTATGGTTGTTTCAAATTATCACGAACTGATTGAAATATGAAATGTTAAACATTAAATATCAACTTAGTGGTTTAAGTATGAAAATTTCCCCACTACACCTGAAGCTCATGTGTTGGATTTCTGGTGTTGCTATGGATGCGGACTGTTGAGGATGTCCATACAAGGATAAGGTAACTCTCCAGCTTTTTTCAAATTTATGTGGTTGTCTAATTAATATCAGTCCATGGTGTAGGGCTGCAAATTCAACAATTTCACAACAACTTTATAATAACAAAAAATTCATCATGTAATCCCTTGCCTCTATCTGAACGTCACTCTCAGCTTCCTTTGGTGAAACAGTCCTATTACGTCGTACATTCCTTATTTAGACTGTTTAATAATAACTTATAATTCAGTTATCATCTTTATTTATCATTGCATTCACAAGATGGCTATTATTAAATTAACAAACGTGCATACATTCACCACCTTTTGTCTGCATGACCTTAATGAATTACTGTTATCACTTGAACAATATTTGCTTAGGATATATCATTCATCAGTGTTAATAGGACTATAGAATAAGTGTTTAACGAATAATGGAAGAGAACAGTGATAATGAATATAAGAAACAGAGTCACTATATTCACTTGGTATTGTTTACCTGAATCTTTCTATAGTGGCTTGTCACTATCCATCTTCGCTTATAAAGTTATTATAATTTGTTGATTATAATATGTGTAAGTGGTAAAGGGTAAACTGTTAATATGAAGATAAAATATGAATCAAAATTTCACCTAAGGGTGTTAATTATATTAACAATTATTAAAGTAACAAAATATGTTTATAATAAAGATTGTCTTTCACCAATTCGTTGTGAAGAGGATGAATATAAATAAAAATACAAGTTGAACCCGATATGAAGTAAAGGTTATGATAGGAATCAATGGCTGCCTCAATGATTTACTTTCACTAGACAAAGAAACAGTCAAGTCTGTTGAAAGCGTTTAGTTCACCAGTTGATCACAAAGTGATAACTATATAAATATCGGTATTGATTAACATTGACAGAGTTTCATTCACGTCGTTCAAGTGTTTTTCTTTTCATAGCATGAGATAAGAAACAAATTTCAATGATTTTCGGATCATACTTCTTTATAATTTGATTTAGGTAGATTCAAATCCCAGCCGACCTCTCATCAAATAACGTTTCATCTTTCCAACTTCAGATTCATTTCTTATTATCTGTGTTTACAATCCAATAGTTTATTCATAACTGTTATTTATACCTCACAAAACAACCTAATAAAAGAGTTCTCATTTATACATAGTTCATTTTTACATGTAAAGTAATCCTTATCAAAATATTGAAGATTCTAGCACATTACCGTATGTAAACCAAGAACCGATGGATTCAATAGAAACCTATTTGAATCCATAATAACAGAATATAGTGTAATTTGATACATTCGTTGAAAGAAAGATTTTATGATAATGTTGAATTAAAGCTGTAGTATTTCAATAATTTCCATATGCACCGGAAGTTGAATTTTATCGGTAAATGTATTGATGAGTAAATGATGAGAATACTATAAATAGTAAAATGTTGTTCGAATGGGTTCGAATCTCGCGAGAGCGGGTTTGTGGATGCGCACTGCTGAGGAGTCCCATAATAAGACGAAACGGCCGTCCAGTGCTTCCAGGTTTTCAATGGGGGTCTAGCTTCAATTGACTCATGACTTCAACTTTGAAAAATACTGAAATCTCCACAAATCCCCTTCTGATTAAAATATTGTTGTTGTATGTAATTCACTGTGATATGGTGGTCAGAGTTTTTGCCAGATTGCTAACAAACCAGTAGTTACATTTCATTTCAAATGGTTAGGGCAAACATTTATGATGTATATTATTCTATTGCTAACTAGTGACCCTATTTCAACAATGTAATGAAAATCAACAATTAATAATATTCCGTTTATAACTAAGTTTTGATATTAAAAAAAGCGGTCAGTGATAAGTAATTTATTTAATTTATGTATTCTAGATCAAAAATGATTGTTTATCAAATTATACATTATGTATACTGGTCATTATTCTACTGTTATAATGATTTCCCATTCTTCCCATTTAGCTTTGAATTTAAAGTATACATTAGGGATATTGTGATAGAAAACAAATACGTTATCACTTGGAAATCATTAATAAATTATGATGTAACTTAGATCAAAGGACTGTTCACTTCTTTGAAGTTATCAAACTATAATAGTGTTTATAAGAGAGTGCTTGTATACTAATTGAATGATTTAGTAAAACAAATAATTTTGTAAATAATATCATATTTTAAATTAATTTAGTATTGTTTGTTTTTTGAATCTTCCCATCGATGTGTTAGGACTGCAACTAGTCAGTCCCAAATAGGACGAAAAACGCGTCCTGGATTCCACTGCTAGCCATTATCCTTGTTTGCTTACAATACTTGGGAATTAAGGCTAAATCGATGCAATATGCACAGTATGCACATATGCCAATTAGAGACTGATCAGTTACAGTCCTAACACATCGATGGGAAGATTCAAACAAACAATACTAAATGAATTTAAACTTCACTCCATCGCACAAGCAAGTGGCTATCAGGACTCAGTGGCCGATTGGGTAACGCGATGGCGTTTTAAGCGAGGGTACTGGGTTGGAGTCCCAGAATGAATATCAACTCCGAGATGCAGGTACATCCAGCTGACGAGTCCTAAATAGGACGAAACGCGAGTCCTGTATTCCACTGCTAGCCACTATCCATCTCTACTTAATATCATATATTATTTGGTCTAATGATGTAACTTAGATCAAAGGACTATTCACTTCCTTGAAGTAATGAACGTACAATAGTTTTTATAAGACAATATTTGTATAGAAATTTAAGGATTTAGTAAAACAAAGAATTTTGTAGCTAATATCATATTTGGTTTGATCTAATGAGTAGGAAAAATTCAAGTGATAGATTGATTATATTAAATGATCAGCCATATGTCGAATTCATCATTTAGATTATAAAGATACAATCAAATATAATATGCCATTTTCTCAATAGTTAACAATGTATACGCTAACATAGAAGGAGACGTATTTCTTTATTTATTATTTTTCTTAACATAAAATAAGAAAATAAATCATTTGAATAATCCTAAAAATAACAATTCCGGTAGGTGTAATGATTTTGTTATAACTTGTGCCGCCTGAATGCCGTGTTTAATGTATAAAATGATAATACCGCCAATTAGAGAGCAACGATTTATCTATCGGACAAGTGATACACGAAACCCGTACGAGCAGTCTAGTGTACTTGACAGTCCTGATTCTGTTAAGTATCCAGTTAAGTCCAAAACACCGATCTCAGCTTCTGTGGTATCAACCATTTATTTCAAACATACTGGCATTATATACCAAACAGACATCACATCGTACTATAAAATAGGAAACAACATTTGTATAAGATTTAGCCAAATGTGGTTGTAAATGTGGGAGACAATAATTGATAGACTAGGGATAATTCAAGAACGGTAAATCATACCATAATAAATTTAATAGTAGAAATCATGAATCCGTTGAAGCTAGATTATCATGGAAAACTTGGAAGAGCTGGACAACCGTTCCATACTATGGTGGGACTCCACAGTAGTGCGCATCCACGATCCCGCCTCGCGAGATTCTAGTGGTTAAGCTCACGCGCGCGACACTGATAGATTATGGGTTTGAATCTCGCTAGGAGGGATTGTGGATGCGAACTGATGAAGGGTCTCACGATAGGAAGAAACGGCCGTCCAGTGCTTCCAGGTTTTCCATGATGGTCTAGCTTCAAATGATTCATGATCTCAACTATTAAGATTACTATAATATCCACAAACACCTACTCATATAATAATAGTTTTTCTTAACATAAAATAAGAAAATAAATCATTTGAATAATCTTAAAAATAACAATTCCTGTAGGTGTAATGATTTTGTTATAACTTGTGTCGCCTGAATGCCGTGTTTAATGTATAAAATGATAATACCGCCAATTAGAGAGCAACGATTTATCTATCGGACGAATGATACACAAAACCCGTACGAGCAGTCTAGTGTACTCGACAGTCCTGATTCTGTTAAGTTTCCAGTTAAGTCCAAAACACCAATCTCAGCTTCTGTGGTATCAACCATTTATTTCAAACATACTGGCATTATATACCAAACAGACATCACATCGTACTATAAAATAGGAAACAACATTTGTATAAGATTTAGCCAAATGTGGTTGTAAATGTGGGAGACAATAATTGATAGACTAGGGATAATTCAAGAACGGTAAATCATACCATAATAAATTTAATAGTAGAAATCATGAATCCGTTGAAGCTAGATTATCATGGAAAACTTGGAAGAGCTGGACAACCGTTCCATACTATGGTGGGACTCCACAGTAGTGCGCATCCACGATCCCGCCTCGCGAGATTCTAGTGGTTAAGCTCACGTGCGCGACACTGATAGATTATGGGTTTGAATCTCGCTAGGAGGGATTGTGGATGCGAACTGATGAAAAGTCTCAAGATAGGAAGAAACGGCCGTCCAGTGCTTCCAGGTTTTCCATGATGGTCTAGCTTCAAATGATTCATGATCTCAACTATTAAGATTACTATAATATCCACAAACACCTACTCATATAATAATAGTTCATAAATCAAAATAAAGCTTATAATAAGCGAGATATGAATATGAATAGTTTAGTTATTTAACAATTATACGATATAATCATATACATAGTATTGGTTTATAAATGAATACCAAAGTTACCATTCTTTATTATTCCTATCGAGAAATAACAGTTTTCTTATATTTATATCTTTAAGTTATTAATCCTTTAAAAACTATGGATTTCAAAAGAGGCATCTTATATCCTATGTGAACTGTTTGTTTGTTAGTTACTTTGTCTGAATTTTTTTGTTTTTTTCCAATTTTTTTGTTATTTAGTTCTTAGGAAAAAAAATATTATTTTCAAAAAATACAAAAAAAAACGTAATTCCTATGGTAATACTGAAAAACTATATTTTGATATTCGAGAATTTCATTTAGTTATGCTCTAAATATTATTCCACAAAAAACAACAACAACAACAATTCATTTCAATATTTGTTTAAATTTATTATAGGTATATCTGAAGGGAAATTTGATGCTGTTATTGTTAATGATAATGCTGATAAAATGGTACAAGAAGTTATTGATGTAATAAAACAAGTGAGTTAGAATTTTTTTTATAATTTACTTTATTGCAATCTAACAAATTGTGATTGGTTTATCAAATATATATATATATGATATAACTAATCGTTGATTGAATTAGACTTTGAATGACTGCATTTTAAATTAATGTACATATAGAAAGCAGTTTAAATAAACTATTGCAATGAGATGGAGCATTTAGACTTCGCAAATGATCTAGATCTTTCATCACACACGCAGCAACAAGTGCAGGAGAAGACGACCAGTGTAGCAGTAGCCTCGGTAGCAGTAGGTCTCAATATAAACAAAGGGAAAAGCAAGATTATCCGATACAATACAGCATACACCAATCGAATTACACTTGACGGAGATGCTTTGGAGGATGTGAAAACCTTTACATATATGGGCAGTATCATTGATGAACACGATGGATCTGATGCAGATGTGAGGGCGCGGATCGTCAAATCAAGAGCAGCATATCTACAATTGAAGAACATCTGGAAGTCAAAACAATTGACAACCAACACCAAGGTTAGAATTTTCAATACAAATGTCAAGACAGTTCTACTGTATGGGGTGGAAAGTTAGAGAAATACGAAAGCCATCATCCAGAAGATAAAGGTGTTTATTAACAGTTGTCTACGCAAAATATTTCGGATTCATTAGCCAGACACTAACAACAACATTACACTGTGAGAGAGAACAAACCAGATTCCAGTTGAGGAAGAAATCAGGAAGAAGTGGATTGGGCACACATTGAGAAAATCACCCAACTGCGTCACAAGGCAAGAATTCACATGGAATCCTGAGGGCCGAAGTACCAAAGAACACATTACACCGCGAAACGGAGACAGACATGAAAAGAATGAACAAAAATTGGATAGAACTAGAAAGGAAGACCCGGGACAGAGTGGGTTGAAGAATGCTAGTCGGCAGCCGATGCTCCATTGGGAGTAGCAGGCGTAAGTAACTAAGTAATGGGATGGTGTGGTAAAACGTGTACGCAAATATAATAAAAGTAAATATGTTGTAGTGAACGAAAACACAGATGGGGACGAACAAATATATTTTAACACAACAATACAGAATATTTTAGTGAAATTTGAGAACCATACAGTAAATACTTCATTTGCAAAATGTCTATCACTTGTCTCAGATATTGTCGTTCTTATGTTTCCCCATCAATCGGCGTTTGTTCTCTTTCTCTTCTCTTCGATTCTCTTAATCTTCTGCCGCAACGCATTCCACTTTTGACCGATTATACCTACTACTTACATCTGTTGACACCAGTAGAATACACCACAATGTGATTTCACAAACCGTATTATAATAACATTATTACGTGAGCTTAAAAGAATAAGTTATATCAAAAAAATTTCAAAAGAATCGTTATTGAAAATTTGTTGTCCTACAAACTGAAGTTTGATTTTAAATCAAATCATTTTTAATTACATTCATATATTCTTAGCAGATGTATAAATGTTATCAAGTAGGATTTCCTTGTTGACGTGATGATCACGCTTGCAAGTTTTGTTGGTGAAGTAATGTTGTTATTATTTTTAAAAATGTGACTTTAACATTTTACTTCGCACTACATCTTCAGCATATATATATATATATATATATATATATATATATATATATATATATATAATATCACGATCAAAGTTAACATGAAACCAGTAGCTGGTGATTGGTTTAAATGCACTTGAAGACTATAGAAATGAATTAGTGCATTGCAGTTACTTAAATTATCTATGAATAAATACTTGTGCGTTCATTTGTTCCAGTTACATCATTTTACTAGAAGAAAACGCTTATAAGACTAACAGAAAATAGGATTTTAATTTGTTAGAATATAAATTCATTAACTGTTATTTAAAATTCAGCAACATTTCTCTAGCATTCATAGTTAGTAGATTAGAGACTTATAGGAAAAAGAGATCTATGCAAAATATTGTCTGATTTTCTTTCCAATAATCTAAGAATATGAACTGATCAGTGTTAGACAACCATTGAAAACCTGGAAGCAATGAATATCCATTTTGTATTGATAACAGACTCTTCGGCAGTGAGCATCTACGATTCTTTATACGGGATTAAAACTCAGAACACCTGGTCTTGAGTTCCAACAATTGACTTGTAGACCACTGGGCATGCAGCTAATATGAAGGTGAACGATTCAATTTTTTACTTCACTGAAAGTCTCAATTCTACCCAGATTAAAGGTGCATCTTTCTGAGGGATAGAAACTAGCTTAAAACTTATATTACGAGTTTTAAGTCGATTGCAAACGATCATATTTATTATTTGTGTGGAAAGCCTAGCTGTTTAATAAATGGTATTCGAATGATATTAGAGTGTTACAACTACCTGAAATCAAACTAAAGTAATGAATGCTCTTAATTAATCACTTACCAGAATAAAAACCAACAAGGTTACAAGAAATCTTTCAATGTGTATGATGATAAACAATAGTGTGAGAGTTGGGTAATAGAATGAAACTGTCAGTGATATTCTGTCATCGATTACATTTAATTTATTATTATTTAAAATAAATTTATTATTAGATGTGTATACTTCATTGAAATACACCCCTTCCAAAAAACCTTATTACTGTCTAGAAAATCCACTGTGTCACTGACAAATTTATGAGTTAATATGATAAATAGAATATTTTTCAAACTAGGAATTTTTCATTTTAAAAATACAAAAATTTCTAGTTTATTTTCACTGGTTAGTAAATAATTTATAGGTAATGTACCAAAAAATAAGCGCTCGCGAGCGAGAATGATAGGTCCTTGGTTCGAATCTCACGAAGCGAGATCGTGGATGTGCACTGCTGAGGAGTCCCATAACAGGACGAGTCGGCCGTCCAATGCTTCTATGTTTTCCATGGTAGTTTAGCTTCAATTGGCTCATTTCAATTATATAAGATTACTGAAATTTCCACAAAACCCATTTCCGATAGCAAACAAACAAAATTAACAAAACAAAGTGATTTATTCCCTATTTACTTTTTCTTAAAAATATGCAATATCAATAAATAATAAAATACGATGTATACCTTATGATTAAGTAGGACACAAAAATACTATCACTCAATCATAAACATTATATAAGACTATTGATCTACTTCATACAAAGATGATTTATTTTGTAGAAAAGAAAAGAGAATTGGTTAAGTCGCTAGATGATAAGAAAAAGGAGTAAACACTTAGTCATTCGTTACAACTTCAAACATCCATCATTCTCTATTTAACAGAGTTTAGAAGTTTATTATCTTAATAATCTCTCATATCCTTTCATAGACATTTAAATGGATGTATAAGAGAGATTAATATCTTGGAGTACTTCATAAACTAGGATTAATAAATGACCAAAACAAAAATAATTCATAGTTTTAAAGCATGAGTCAATTGAAGCTAGACCACCATGGAAAACCTGGAAACACTGGACGGCCGTTTCGTCCTATTATGGGACTCCTCAGCAGTGCGCATCCACGAACTCGCTCGCGCAAGATTCGAACCCACGACCTACCAGTTTCGAGCCAAAGCCCTTAACCGATAGACCACTGAGCTGGCATCCAAATCTCGCGCGAGCGGGTTCGTGGATGCGCACTGCTGAGGAGTCCCATAATAGGACGAAACGGCCGTCCAGTGTTTCCAGGTTTTCCATGGTGGTCTAGCTTCAATTGACTCATGCTTTAAAACTATGAAAAATACTGAATCTCCACAAAACCCTCTCTGATAATTAACAAAAATAATTACTTATAAGCGTAGATGGATAATGGCTAGCAGTGGAATCAAGGACGCTCATTTTGTCCTATTTGAGATTCGTCAGCTGGATGTACCTGCACAATTACTTTATATATTTTTAAAAGCATAAAATCTATTCATGTGACGAAAATTTCATTGATATTAACCAAACATCAAAGGATAATGTTAGATTAAACGAAAAGCTCACATTAATAATAGTTGATATTCTGATTTCTTGAAAATTATTTGCTAATATCAATTACAGTTCACCTTAATATGAATCTATTCATACTAATGAATAAATTACAACATGAATGATAGAATTCGATAGTCAATAAAGACTAGAGGATAACGATACTTGTTAATGCTAGTCAGTTACTACTACGTTCTGAATTCATTTGGTACATATTTTTTAAATAATGAACTTAATTCGTACTTCATAATTACCTTTTTTCTTTCCTTGTTCATTCATATTTTAGAAATTGAGCATTTAATGAAATAAATATTATGGACAATATATCTCACAATTTATCAAACTCTTTATTGAAGAGAATTTATTAAGATTATCTTTTATGAATTACATCATGTTAACAAGGAATGGACTATTTAATTCGTGTACCCTGTGATGTATTTTTATGAATAAAATTGCATTTATTTCATAATAATGAAGCTTTTTACAACGAATATATATATATATATAATCTACAAAATAAATAATCAAAGTGTTCAACATCTAACAATTATAAGCGACTATGGATAGTGACTGACAATGGAATCCAGGACGCGCGTTTTGTCCTATTTGCGACTCGCCAGCTGGATGTATCTGCATCTCAAAGTGGATGCTCACTCTGGAACTCGAACCCAGTACCGTTCGCTTTGAACGTCATCACGTTATTTACTTAGCTACTGAGTCCTGATAATACAAGTATACAACACCAAATAAATTTAAACTTCACCCCATTGCATAAGCTGGCAGTTATCTGGACTCAGTAGCTGAGTGGATAACGTGATGGTATTTGAAGCGAACGGTACTGGGTTCGAGTTTCAGAGTGAGCATCATTTCTGAGATGCAGGTACATCCAGCTGACGAGTCCCAAATAGGACAAAACGCGTGTCCTGGATTCTACTGCTAGCCACTATTCACCTTTGCTTATAAAACCTTTGACTTCAGGCAATATGGAGACAGTCCGCACAGGATGCACATGTGCCATCAAGAGACTGATCGATTGCAGTCCTAAATAACAATGAGAAGATACAAGTAAGCAACACCAAGTGAATCTAACAATTAGTTTACATAATTAAACTCCATTGAACCATTTTTCGGTTTCACTTAACATTGCAAATATGAATATACATCTGATAAATGAGTTAGATTAATTTTTGAATCATGTTTATTTTAGCTTAAATTGGCATATGACAACAATTTATTCAAACATTAGATTCATCTAGTTGTAATTCTTTCCTAATACTCGTTATTAAAGAGATAATTAGTTTAACGATAGCCGTTAAACTTATCAGTGGCTCTATTGTTCGATTAAAGAAATGTTTGAAATGAATCCATTATAATCCCATCACGTGGTGTTTTGTTAATATTAAAAAAAAACTCTTATATTAGAATCGAACTCAATGGAAACACTAATTTATTAAGTGGACTTATTTTATTGGCTCATATAGATGATTCTTGTAGAAAACGGTAATATCAAATCTTCCATTATTACAGTATAAAGGAATACACTTTTGTCCACATCAAATAATAATATCTCAGCATGTTACTTCCAGTAGATGAATGATACAAAGACATTGCCTCAAAAACGAACATTTTAGTAAACTAAATACAATCACTAAAGAAAAGTAATAAGGTATGCTGAATAATTTATTAAAACAATAACTGGAATTATCTTAATAAGAATTTGTCGTCTGGTATTATGTTATTTGAAGTTGTTGATTATGAAATCAATAGCCAATATAGGGTTTAATTGTCTGTATTGACTCAGATTAAATGATTGAGGATACCTACATATTGACTACAACACGTATGGCTTGAATTAAGAGACAGATTGGTGGAAACGCCATTAATCTTAAAAGCGTTGGGCATTTAAAAAATCTATCACTTTAATGTATATCCACAAACCATTTACTTATTAGAGTAACAGTGGTAAATGAGTTAAATAACTTCAGAACACCACTTTACGCCTCGATATAGTGCACGCAATATCTATCTGCACTAAGAAAGACCTACGACATATGACATTGATCACCAGTGAACAAATTATAAACACATTTCAGTTATACAGGAGATTAGTCACGGGTCGGACAGCTCAATGGTAATATCTCTAACTGTGAAGTCGGGTGACATGGGATTGAATCCTCCAAGTAGCATTAGTTCACTGACGAGTGTCAAATGACAACCTAGGTCCAGGGTTTTCTGTCGACTACCTGCAACCATCATTTCACATGCGAACATTTTATTGAAAGCTATACAAATAATCATAAATAGAATTTTTGTCCGAATTTATTGGAATCTCGCAAGCGCTTTGAACCTAAAGAACTCAAATATTGCTGAGCGGAAATTATTCTTGTTTTATAGGTTCAACCCTTATTGACATCAAAATGTTTCAACGTTAGTTAAGTTTGCTTGATTATATCTAATTTCACTTAATAAAATATATCGTCACTTAAAAAATTTAATGTTTGTCAGACAAAAACCCCTATAACATATGCACTGTTAGTTAATTTATACTTCTGATGAGAAATGTATCAACAAGAGTGAGCTGCCAGTTCGTAATTTACAATTTCTACCAATAACACTGACTGAATGTATTCAATATGTCATTACAGTGATGGTGGAAATCCACTAGTGATTTATGAAACTTCATCGTTTACTGTATGAACTAATCTAATTTAAAAACTGACGGGAACCAGAAAAGATTAAACAGCTGTTCCATCTTATCATGGTAGTGTGCAGAAGTGCGAATCCATGAACTGACTGATAATTGAACCCAGAGCACTCAGGGTTCCCTTTAGGCACCTAAACTTCATACTACCTAGCAGGCATACATTGGTTTGCAGTTCTAGCTTCGACTGATTCACCATATTGCCCAACCATCATTCATTGCAACTAGTAATATTTGTCTCTGTCCAGATATGGCTGAACTCCATCGGCCGTAGATACTTACAAGTACTCTGACAACTAATTATGGAGGTAAGTCACTAGTAAGAAACAGCTATCTGGTGCATTATGATTTTTAAGAGTATAAACAAGATCAGATTGTAATGTAAACTATGAAATCTAGCAACCCAGACACCGCCTTCTGAGATTAATCATAAAAATCATAGTTGGTGTAATACAGAAATGTAGTCCAACTAATCTCAGATATTATTCGGTTGTAGCTTTGTCATGTGCAGAAAGTTAGATATTGAAGAAAGTTTATGTAAGAATAGCAAACGAGTTATACCGTCAAAGTAGGGCTGGATGAATATGGTTAGGTCTTATATATGTTATTTTTTAGACGAAATGTATAGTACAGTAAGATCTGATTAGAGTATAATTTTATTTTTATTGCACAAATCGTCAAATTCCTAGATAATCTATAAGTTCTATAACAATAAATCCTAAGATTATAAGTTAAGCCAAAAATAATTTAGGTTAAAAGCAGTCCTTGAATAGGTCAGCTTTAATTTCAGTGCGTGAACATATCCGTTATATGTTGTTTCTAAGAAATAATTCCTTTTAGTAAAACTTTAAAGATGATTGTTCATTGTTTTATATTTGATTAAGGAATCTATACAATTAATGTCAATTCATGATAAAATCTATAATGATTTTCGTTTATTTACTGTACAAACAACATCTATGCCATTTCTGTCCATTCAAACAAAGATTATGATATAGTATGATATTTATAATCAGTAAATATACCGGTTAAATACTATGTTATTAAAGCAAAATATTATTGGCTCAAATGCATATCGGGAGGAGGGTTTGTGGAGATTTTATTGATTTCATATAGTGGAAATCAATAGTCAATAGAATCTAGACCACCATGGAAAACCTGGAAACATTGGACGGCTACTTCGTCCTATTGTGGGACCCCTCAGTAGTGTGCATCCACAATCCATCCTCATAAGATTCGAACCTAGGACCTATCAGTCTCAAGCGCAAGCGCTTAACCTCTAGATCACTGAGCTGACAGGCATCTAACGGTGTTAATGTCTAATTTCAACCAATCCATGAAATTGAGCAATCGTCCACCATTGTATTCAGTGAGTTACTATCTCACAACAGACCCGGATGAACTCCACTGGTCCTTGTTTATGTGTGATACTTTCAGACTTTACTTTACTCTTACTATGTACAATCCATCCACTTAGTGTCATGAAGTTTACACAAGTGTAATGATTTGAAATTGCACAATTTTACAGCATTTTAAAACTGGATATTACAGTTAATATACTATGTAAATTCCAGATGGAAATGTTTGTTTATGATTTTGAATTCACTAACAAATATTTTACCCAGAATTTTCCATAATTACTTTGTTATTGAATTAAATAATAAAAAAATATTGAATCGTAGGTCAAATTTTGTAACAGTCTAGTATTTACTAACTGAATTGGAAAGTTTTAATTGATGATTATATTTGGAACTCATTTCAACTATTCGATGGTATCCAACTGTTGTGTAATACTTTTTAAAAAATTAAGGAGTGACTACTACGAATTCTGTGTAACGTGAATCCTATGATGTCTTACTGATATAATCTTTCTTGTGGTTATCACACATGTTACTCAGTATAACACAACAATCAATACTCTAATAAGCTTTTAAAAGACTGGTAGTTTCATTATATATAAAGTTATTTATGCATTTCTTCCAACAATCGATTAGAGAGAAGATGGATTAAAAAAGAAGAGCTATATTGGTGAAAAGATGGTTTAATGTGAAATAATGAAGGTTTATAGTCTACGTGATTCATTGTATTATATGGGCTGTGTATTTTTTAATTGAAAAATCTTCACTATCGTTCTTGAAAATGTCATTAGCGTAGTTGTATCAAGCCAGTAAAATACGGAATTTTGAAATGATAACGAAAGTTGTAGGTCAAAGGTACATCATATCATGCTCTGTGTATAAACGAAAGGTTCAGACGTAAATGTCTAATAGAATCATAGGTGAATACAAATGAAGTGCTTGAAAGCAAAACGAATATATCTCCCAATTACTTCGTTATTCTGATTGCATCTAATGTTAGGGTAATTCTGAAGTAAGTTTTTACAAGCCAATAACGAAATATCTTTGTTTGAAAACAGCTAATATTTTACTGTCATTGACTTTTACTGTTCATTTACTAATCACTTTAGGTGCTGAATAAACACGCTTGCCCGACGTTTTTTAAATACAGTGCCTTATCCTCCAATATTGGTTTACAACGTTTATAGCGATTACACTGACCACTCTTAATAATCCAAGATTAAATTTCTTTGATCTTGTTATGAAAGGTAAAACACAGCGGTGATACACATTTTCAAGGCTTCATTCTCACCTCACTTCATTATTTTACAAAACGTCGAACACATCTGATTATTTAAAGTTACCATTCCTGATATTGTACAGATTTTGTTTTGATGAAAGCAGAACGCTTCTAAACAAAGACGGAGGT